GGAGTAGTAAACCATAAGATTGTCAGATTCACAATGGCCAATACCAGTTCATTTCAACTCACTAATGCCTAGGATATCAGTCTTTATGGGTTCCAGTTCATTTTTACAACTTCCAGTTTCCTAGATTCATACTTCATACATTCCATGTTCTGATTATAAATGGAGGTTTGCAGCTGTTTCTCATTCTGAATCGTGCTCCATCAGCAAATGGAGGTCCCAAAATCTTTATTCCATTCATGTCACAATGGTGAACTCTACTTTTAAGAGGTAGCTCTTCCCCAGTCATAGTTTGAGTGCCTTCAAACCTGATGGGCTCATCTTCTGGTGCTATGTCTGACAATGTTCTGCTGTAGTTCATAATGTTTTCATCTTCCAGCAATACATCTGACAATATCTTACTAGTATTCATAAGGTTTTCAGTAGCAAAACATTCAGAAGTAGTCTTTCTCTCCTTCTTCTAGTTTGTCTTAGTCTGGACGCTCCTCTGAAACTGTCCACAATGGATAGCTCTGTTTTACACACTGTTGGTGTATAAAATACTGGTGGCATAGCTTCCAGCATCACAGCAACATCAAAGCCACCACAGTATGACAAACTGACAGATGAGTGGCAGAATCTATTCTTAGTGGACCCCTATCAATAAACTCAGATTGATTCAATTTCATGTTCCTTGTGCCATTATTCCACACCTCATTAGTCATTCCCACACATATTCTCCAGGCTTCTGTTTGTACATATTAGAAAAACCAAGCAGTTCTTTTGGTGTGTATTGTACCTCTCTCTCCCTCTGCAGTGATTCCATGAAATTTAGAAGCTCTATGTCCCTGGCTTCCTAATGATCTGACCATATGTCTCCATCCCAAATGTAGGATCCCATTTCTGCTCAATCAGTGCCCTTGTGTTCCATTAAAAATTGGGAATTTAGCTGGCGTTGTAATTTAGTCACTCTTACAATAAGACTCTGGGTTTGGTTTTAGGCAATACCAGCTCTGCTACTATAAGAAATAAGGCTTTCTTTCAAGATATAAGTGGAAACTTTGAGGTCTTCTATGTGATGCTTGGGCTGTGACTCTTTAGCTCTGAGCTCATCTTCTCCCTTTACCACTTGGTCTGTTGTAGTTAAAGGACCAACCAACCAGCTTCTCTATAGTTATCATCCTGACAAAATATCAGAAAAGTATCAAACACACAATCATCCAGAGCTCTGCTTTTCTCCAATACGTGATATATTGATGGCGATATTTTATGCACTAATATTGTCATTATGCACTAATATTGTCACTTCACACCATGGGTCAAATGGCCCAAGATCCACAAGTCAGATGACAGGCAGGTAGGTTGGGCAGGTAAGACGGCAGTCTCCTGATGACTCCCAGGATCAATAAACAATAGAGCAATCCACTGGCTCAAGTCCAAAGAAATGTAGGTCAATGAACCAGATGCAGAATCCAGACCCAGCAAAAAGCATATAGCTTAGCCCCAAAGTCCAATACATTGGAAGCAGACCACACTCCTGAGAAAATGTCCTTTTGTTTGTTGTCTTCCTGGTGTGGTGCTGTGGGTTAATGCGATAGACTGCAACGTTGTTTGAACTGCAAGGTCAGGGGCTCAAGTTCACCAGGTGCTCCTTGGAAACCCTATACAGGGTCACTATGGGTTGGAACCGACTTGAGGGCACTTAACAGCAACAAAAACAGCAGATCTCATAACAGAGTTGATGACATTATACTAGCTCTCATTATGGAGGGTGATACCATCTTCACTGTCACCCACTGAGAGTCCTGGTCCAATCAAGTTGATAGAAAACCTTAACAATCACACATGGCTTGGGTCAGGGTGCACCTTAGTCTTCAAAGCGACATCTTTGTTCTTTAACACTTTAAAGAGGTCTTTTGTAGCAGATTTGCCTAATGCAATACATCATTTGATTTCTTGACTGCTGCTTCCATGAACATAGATTGTGGATCCAAGCAAAATGAAGTCTTTGACAACTTTAACTTTTCTCCATTTATCACGATGTTTATTGGTCCAGCTGTGAGGATTTTTCTTTTCTTTACATTGAGGTACAACCCATACTGAAGGCTGTAGTTTTACTTATCTTCATGAGTAAGTACCTTAAGACCTCTCGGCTTCCAGCAAGCAAGGTTGTATCATTGGCTTATCAAAGGTTGTACCATCTGCATATCGCAGTTTTTTAATGAGTCTTCCTTCAATCCTGATGTTGCATTCTTTTTTTATCTAATCCAGCTTCACAGATTATTTGCTCAACATATAGACTGATTAAGTCTGGTGAAAGGATACAACCCTGGCACACATCTTTCCTGATTTTAAACCAGTCAGTATCCCCTTGTTCTGTTTGAATGACTACATTTTGGTCTATGTATAGGTTTCTCATGAACACACAACAACAACAACAAAATAACATGCAAATTGGGGGTATAAAATCTGCCCCAAAGGACTGAGACACTTGTGTATAAAAGTGGCCATCTCACAGAGATTGAGGGGGAACATCATTATCATTAAGAAGAGGAGCTTTTGGACCTGGGATTCCTGCACCAAGAACGTCCTAGATCAGGAGACAGAGAAAGCTATAACACTGTTATAACCAGTGTAAGATGGACAGAAACAGAGGCAACAGAATCAGGAGACTAGCTTGAGAAAGCACTGGGGGCTTCCTGATGTGAGGCAACTACAGTAAATTTGCTGACCCACAGAGTGAGAGCGACCTGAGTGTCTTCAGGAAGGAGTCTTGCTGATGGAGTGGGGTGCCTCTTGGCACTTGTTGGCAAAGCTAAAAGAACTATAATACTTGTCCAGTAGAGCAGAGGCCAAGAGGAGACCTGTCTTAAGGGGGCTGAGAGTAGGTGTACCCTGAGGTTAAGAGTGGGCAGAGAGGAAGTCTTCCTAAGGGGGTCAAGAGAAGGTCTGTCCTGAGGGGGCATGCGAAGACCAGAGGGGGAGAGAGAGAGAGAGAGAGAGAATGCAAGCTGTCCTACACTAAACTAAGGAAGAGGGAAGGATGTGCTCTTCAACTTGAAGGAGCCTTCCAGCCCTTACCAATGTGCTTCCTGACACTGACCTTGCTCTTGTTACTTCCAAGTTAATCCTGATCCCATGTTACTTTCCTAATAAATTATGTAACTGAGTATTGTCTGTAAATTCTGTGTGGCTGTCACAATGCATTACTGAATCCAGCAGAGAAGTAGAGTGCCGTGGGAAGGGGTGGCTGGGGTCAGAATTGGTAAAAGTTGGGAAGTGGAGGTAGGGCTGACCTTCACCTCATAGGAATCAGCTTTGGACTGATCCTCATGGGAATTCTCATTCTCCCTGAAGTTAGATGAGTTCTACCACTACTACGACCACATTGCAGATCCTTCAATAAAGAATGTGTCCACTAGAATTACCTTAATGCTTTCTTCTTGAAGTAAACCATTATGCTGCTTTAAGTCCAAGTTCTTTCCTCGTTCATATCGAAGCTCCTTTTCAGCTGAGTTGCACAGATTTTGGAGTCGGTGCAAATTCTGACGAAGCTGTTGTAGTTCTTCTTGTGGTTGATATTTTAGTTTTACTCCAGATGACGAATACTAAAACAAACATATTTTAAAAGAGAAATTTGAAGGAATGTTGGTAAAAAAAAATGGGCTCAAATGATCAAAGCCAGAATTGTCAGAATGTGATTATTCACATAAAAATTTTTGGTTCACTTTAGTTTACTTATAACAAATCATGCTTTATGCTTATAGCTAGTTGGTACATGTTCATATAATTTGATTCCTGTTGTATTAGAGTGAAATTATTAGGAAAATTATTTGAAACAAAGGTAGTTGATTATAGACAATCACATTAAAAAAAATTCTTCCCATATTAATGAAGGGGAACAGAAGTATAGATAGTTTTAGAGTAAAACATGTTTTCAATGGCGCGTTCAAAGAGTCAATGTGTAAAGAAGTGGAGCTATTATGATGGTGTGGATGTGCATGTGTGTTAACAAAAGGAAAGAGAAGATTCAGCAAGAGAACTTAAGTTCCTGGCCTTTGTCATCACACTCCTTTTGCACCTGACAATTCTTCTCAACAACAACACACCATCCCATCAGGTTTCTAGTGCAACAAAATTACCTTAACCAAAGGAGTAGTAATTTAGATTTTTTACAAACAGTTAGGCACACACAGTTGTGTTGAATAGATAAAGAAGTCATTGGAAAGTGCCTTTTTCAATGAAATACGTAACACAGTCGTAAAGTTTCATTAGTCCTGGTCCAGTGTGCTTCCTGTCCATGGATTTCTGATAAACCTGTAAGTTCTATCTTATTCTAGTTCTGTCTTCTGTCCCTGAAGCCACAGAGAGCTTCTCAAGGCCTGTTAGCCTGTTAGCCCTTCAATTCCTATCCTGGTTTAATCAGAAAGTCCATTCAAATCCAATTTGCTTGGCTAAGAGCGACAAGTCTCTAAGATTCCTGCAGAAATTTCTTTAATAGAATTGTAATTATTAAGAGCTCTAGTTCTGGAAGTAGACACATCTAGTTTTTGATCCTGACAGGGACCATTTACTAGTTGGGTGATCTTAGCATAGTTACTTAGTCTCTTTACATATCAATTTCCTCATCTCAAAATAGGGACAATAACTGTTGGGTGAAGTAGAGCAACCGGTCCAAGATCACCCAACTAATAAATGGTCCCTGTCAGGATCAAAATTAGAGTAGGTAATTGTGGTGCCTTGAATTTTCTTCATATGGTTTTTCTATCAAGCTTTCTTAATTCCAAAGTCATTGGGTGAGACATGCAAATAAGAAATACAGGACTCTCAGGCTGGATTGGTTAGTTTTGTACTCCAACTAGGTTTAAAAGGAGCCATCTCTGAAGTAGAGACAGAAGATCCCAGGACTGTCAATAAGAAAGAGCATGAGTGACACATGAGATCCATACCTAGAGAAACAGCAACTACAGGCAGCAGAGGTGACAGTAGAGGTGACAGCAGAGGCGGTGTCATAGAGGGGCAGAGCAGCGTCTAGTTCTATTGACTGAGTAAAGCTGAGTGTCTAAGGTAGGAGACTGGCTCAATTGAAGAAGGTGCCCTTTGGGCCTTCACAGACAGGCTAACCTTTGTAACACGTACTTGAGTAGGGCAGAGGCCAAAGGACCACATGGCTGAGAGACTGAAAATAAGAGTGAGGTATGCCTGCAGAATGGCAGACCAGAGGCATTCCTGACTGGAGACCTGCTGCGTCCTGAGTTAGTTTTGATCCTGAATTGTACCCTGTTCACTTCCCCAATAAACCCCATAATCATGAGTAGTGTTAGGAATTCTGTATGACCACTGCAATGGATTATCTAACCTAGATGTGAAGCAGAGTGTGCTGTGGGAGGAACAGTTGGTGTCAGACTAGGATAAAGAAGGTTGTAAGGTGGAAGCATGTCTGACCTCTACTTTACCGGAATTGGCCTTGGGCTGATTTTGAGTTTGATTCTCTATTTCCCTTGTGAAATCAATGGATGTCCTCACGTGGTTTTTGCAGCAATGCATGCAGGCATTTAGCACAATGTTGTGTTGTTGTTAAATGCTGTCGAGTCGGTTCTGACCCATAGCGACCCTGTATAGGATTTCCTAGGAGTGGCTGGTGAGCTTGAACCACCGACCTTGGGGTTCAAACCAACTTTGCAGTCCAGCGCATTAACAGTGCCACATCAGGACTCTCTATTGGCTGACCCATAATAACTCCACAACATTACTCATTAATGCTTCTGCTACCTAATTTTCCTTTAGCTACTTTCTTCTTCCATCTAAAAATAAGGATTTCCTGAAGCCTAGAACTCCTTGACCTACCACTTTACTTAACCTCACGTGGCAATGTTTAACAATTAATTAACAATCAGCCTCTTATATAGCTATTTGACACACCAAAGCAGAGACATACAGAAGCAGCACCTTATTTGTACGAATGGAAAAAGGCACAGAATATTTTAGCCTTTTGTGAAGAAGGGAAAAGCCAGAATAGTAGTTCTTCCTGCCAACAATTTTAGTCAAGTCACATTGCCAAAGTAGGATTGTAAATTATTTCTCCAAAAAGCAAGCGTCATCGAAACTACCAGCCCGTCAGACTAGGGGCCCAAGGTAAATTTCCCCACCAAGTAAATTACTCCCCTGCTAGAATGCTATTATAAAGGCTTGAGAACTTATTCAGGCTACTGGTGGTGGTTATGTGCTGTGGAGTTGGTTCTGACTCATCGCATAGGGTTTCTGTGGCTGTAAATCATTACAGGAGCAGAAAGCCTCAGATTTCTTCCACCCTTCAGGCTACTGGTGGTGGTGATGTGCTGTGGAGTCAGTTGTGACTCATAGCAACCCTGTATAGAGTTTCCAAGGCTGTAAATTTTTATGGGAGCATAAAGCCTCATCTTACTCCTGCGGAACAGCTGGTAGTTTCGAACTGCTGACATTAAGGTTCTCAGCCTGATTTGTAACCGCTACACTACCAGAGCACCTTAGGACTTCATAATAGTAATCTTTAAACATGAGCCAAATTCATACACTGATCCCAATGACAAGACTGTAGAATTAAAGTTACAGACTACTGGCTTCAATAGTGAATGTGAATGTAATGTTGTTGTTGTTGTTAAGTGCCGTCAAGTTGTTTTTCGACCCATAGCGACCCTGTACAGGGTTTCCGAGGCTGTAAATCTTTACAGGAGCAGAATGCCTCATCTTTCTCCCACGGAGCGCCTGGTAGTTTCGAACTGCTGGCCTTAAGGTCCGCAGTCCGATTCGTAACCACTACGCTACCAGAGCTCCTTAATAGGTTATCAAAATCTGGTGTTGTTACATATGTGAAACGTGACACTAAGTCAGTTAATTGTATTGACACCGTATTCATCAAACATCCTTTAGATGTTGAAATGTCCTTGTTAGCTCTCTAGAGGACAAAAAGGCAGTATTCCTATAAATATGTCCATGTGGCATTTATAATGAATTATTACAGAAGAATAACTAATTGGCATTTTGATTTTATTCAATAGTTTTATAAGTTTGATCAATGTGAGTTTATCGCTAAGACATCAATCTATTCTAAGTGGGCTTATACATAAAGTTTTGAGTCAGCAAATCTAAGGGTCAAACCCTGGACAAATTCACCAAGATAATCTATGACACCCCATAGGGCTTTGGGATCCAGCATTCCTTAGGAAATCAGCTTGATGTGAGGCATGTAGCTGCTTAATTTTGAATTTTTCAGTAAAATGATGCAAGGTCAAGCTGTGGAGTAGAGCAACCTAGACTTCATCAGTGTGTCATTCTGGTCAAATTAACTTTCTAAAGCCTCAGTTTCCTCAATTGTGAAGTGGCAGTAAATTATTCTTGTTTTATTGGATTGTATAATACGTAACAACAACGACAATGACAGAAAACCTCATTGTCATCTATTTGATCCTGACTCATAGCAACCTGGTTGTTGTTAGGTGCCTTCAAGTTGGTTCTGACTCATAGTGACCCTAGCTATGTTCTTGTTAAGTGCCATCAAGCTGGTTCCGATTCATAGCTACTCTGTATAGGGTTTACGAGGAGCGGCTGGTGAGTATGAACCGCCAACCTTACAGTTCAAACTGACCTTGCTGTCTGGTGCTTATCCTACAGCACCACACCAGGATATAGTGACCCTATAGTTACTGTTGTTGTTGTTAAGTGCTGTCGAGTCGGTTTCAACTCATAACGACCCTGTATAGGGTTTCTGAGGAGCGGCTGGTGGATTTGAACTACTAACCTGCAGTTCAAATTGACATTGCAGTTGAGTGCTTATCCTGTAGTACCACAGCAGCACTCTAGTGACCCTATGGTGGTGGTTGTGTGCTGTAGAGTGCCTATTGTTGTTGCTGTAAAGTGCCTTTGAGTCAGTTCTGACTCATAGTGACCCTATATAGTGTTTCTTAGGAGGAGATGGTGAGTTTGAACTGCTGATCTTATGGTCGAGTGTTTATTCTACAGTGCCACACCAGGACTCCTAGAGCACAGTAAATAGTAAGGTTAGGAAGAATCATTAAGCTAGGTTTCAGTCCTACAAAATTCAGATAATGTGGTTTACAACTTGTTTCATGAATATTGGGAAAGAAATATCTAGAATTCAGCTCTTCTGAAACTTCACCTGGACTATTGGTGAACAGCAGAAATTCATCTTCCAAAGGTCACCAGCAGCTATGAAAGATGTCATGAAAAATACATAGGAGCAACAGAGCTCCCAAAACTTACTCACAAAAGAGGCTCTCATGGTTCTTTTCCTAAGTATTGACCATTTATAAACAATCTTAATCATTTTGCATTGAGTCTGAGGCTGTTTAAATTTTCACATTTTGAGATTAAGAAGACATTGTACATCTGGATAGCAGCAGGTACTAGAAATTATAATTTGACAGCAAGAGTAAAGACCAAAAACTCACACAGCACAGCACAACACACACAAGGTTTGAAGAGCAGAGTAACCTCTAGCCACCAATGTGGTCAAAGAGCCTTGCAAATAGGAGGGGGTTCTGAAATTTTCCCTGCATAGTGTATTACAGAAAAAATTCTGTACTTGCCTCCTTGATTTCTTAAAGGATTAAATGAAATCATGTGTGTGACAGTGTTTTGGGAAATGTCAGGCTCAAAATACAATTTTTTTTCCTCTGAAATCTTTTTGATTGCTGTTTTGTTGATTGCTGTGTTTGTCTTAACAAATTATAATTAACCAATTAATATTGGTTAAGAAATGAATGGCATCAATTTAAGCTTCTTTCAATCATTCAGGGTCATGATTCTGGAAAACAATGATTGAACGTTGCTAGAATTATGTGAAACCGTAAGACATTATATAGTATACAGCACTATCTGCCCTTCCCCAAAATGACTATTAACACTCGGTTTCCCCTTAGAATTTTTATTTAATTATTTTTCCATTTCTTTTCTTGGGGTTGCCAATCATTCAAATATTAATCCTTTAATAAAAATTAATAAATTAGGGTTTTACTTTTTGTACTTTAACTTTCACACTCTAAAAGTACAATGATTATTTTAAACTCTTAAGCCCAGATTCTTAAAATCTTTATGGTTTAGTGTTCAGCCTCTGCCTAACTTCTCTAAACAGGTTCAATGTCCAATAAAGGCACTGTCTTAGAAATGTTTATAACCTCTTTTTGGCTATATAATGTCTTATTCACCTTTGTTTTTTGAACCAATTAAGTTACTCTCTTTTCTTTCAAATGTGTATTTGAATCGCCTTCCAGGTATCTATTTTCCTTGTCTATTATGACTTGCCAAATTTCTGAACCGTGTACTGAATCTCTTCTCAAATATATATATATATATATATATATTTTTTTTTTTTTAATAAATGTTTTATTGTGAATTGTGTGATAGTCTACATGGGAGAACATTAGTTTTACATTCATTCTATCATCAGATATATTTTTGACTCTTGTTATTGGTACTTGTCGTTTTACAAACGTATGCTTGAATCACTTTCAAATGCAAATCATCAGCCTTCTGAAGTGTGACTATTTATGAGTACAGAGGCATTCCTTCTCTGTGGATCTCAAGATAATCTCTGGAGAGAAGTATGCATCAAGATCTTGGAATGTATAAAAGAGAACCTATGAAATTGAGGTAGAAAGACTGAAGAGTGGCTGGTAGGCAATCCCTTCATTTTCCTGCAGGCAGATCTCTAATAAAAGCAATGTTTTTGTTGGTAAGTGCCATCGAGTCGGTTCCAAACCATAACGACTCTCTATAGGGTTTCCGAGGAGTGGCTGGTAAGTTTGAACTGCCAACCTTGCAGTTCAAACCAACTTTGCAGTCCAGTGTATTAACCCACAGTGCCACAATAGCCATATTTAAAACAATTTCAAGTCCGTGGTCTTTCCTCCAGTAAAACAAAGTACTTTGTACATCTAAGCTATATACCAGGAATGGAAAAATTGGCACATATGCTGTATTCCCACGTGCCCATGACAGACACTGACAATCATAACATTGTCCTTTGCTGAGCCTAGATGGAGTCTAAAAACACTTTATAATAAAGTGTCAATTGATGAGCTTAGCTCAGATTTTAGTTACTATTTTATTACTTTTCAGGTCATACTTACAGTATTCAATAAATAATACATTAATGGTAATATAAAGATTATGCTTATATCCACAACTGATTGGATGAAATGGATCCAGGTGGAGCTCATGCAGAGGTACAGTACCTACCTGGGCGCTAAGGTCATCTGAACTATCCCCAGAGCTCTGAGACTGGAACAGGCTCTCATTCATACGGCTCAGCGCTTCTCTAAGCCTCACAACTTCCTCAGGTTCTATGGGGAACTGCTGTTCTTCATCTCTCATATCTTGGTTCTGTTGTGAGTATTCTTCCTTCTGCCCTTTTCCTGGAATAGTGCCCTCCTTTACTGACTCCTCTGGAATTTCCTTCTGCTTATTTTCTCCTAATTTGGGACTTGGTACAAATACAACAGTAAAAAAACAAAACAAAAAACAACAACTATCAAAATGTTCATTCTAGTAGCAGGTTTGGAGAAAAAAAAAGTTACAAGTCAAGAATGTATTGTGCATGAGATTTTCAATTTGAGTTCAATAGCAGAGCAGTTATTCTTATAAGCACACTTTTAAAACATGAATGAATCATCAAGGTTAAGAAGGAGAGGCCAAGTGCAAGTCTTGTTGGTGGAGACACCGAATTCACTTTAATGGTGGTAGAACGATTTGGAAAAAGAAAGGGACTAGGGTTGTATAACATCAAAAGTATAATCAGTGTCACTGAATTGTGCATGTATAAACTATTAAACTGGTGAATATTTTGTGTGTATATCTGTACAATAATAAAAAAAATGAATGAGTCATATTTTTTACTTTCACTCAGAAATATGACCTCTCACAGATTTTGTCTACATATAACTGACAAAGTTTAAGTGATTTTTAAACTTTTTCAACCTTTAATTTAGCAGCTATAGCTTCAGAAGAAAAGAAAATCTATCAGTAAGCACCAGGAATTTTGGTAGGCACTAGGGCTACTGTGGAGTCCTGGTGTGGCACTGTAGGATAACCACAGGTCGGAGGTTCAAATTCACTAGCCGCTCCTCAGAAACCCTATGCAGGGTCTATATGAGTCAGAAATGACTTGAAAGCACTTAACAACAACAACAAGGCTACTGTGGCACTCTGGTGATGCTGTAGGATAAACACTGGAATGTTAACCATAAGGTTGGCAGTTCAAACCCACCAGCCACTCTGCAGGAGAAAGATGAGGCTTTCTGCTTTGATAATGATTTACAGCCTTGGAAACCCATTCCAGGGTTGCTATGAGTCTGAATGGACTAGATGGCAGTGCGTTTTGAGTTGAGTGGGTTACTACAAGAACCCCTGGTGGTCTAGTGAGTAAGTGTTTGGCTGCTAAGTGCAAGGTCAGGGTCAGAAGTCACCAGCTACTAGATGGAAAAGCCTGGGTGATCTGGTCTCATAGAGATGACAGTTTAGGAAACCCTAAGAGGCAGTTCTGCTCTGGCCTACAGGGTCACCATGAAATGAAATTGATCTGAGGGTATACAACAACAAATACAATAGGGTTATTACAACAGGACACAATCCCTGCCCTAAGGAATTTAAATCTGTCTTGAAGAAGAACAGCCAGAATGCTCATCAGAGGCAAGGATGGATCTCTTGTTCTTTAGACAGGTTGTCAGGAGGGATCAGTCCCTGCAGAAGGATATCAGGCTTGGTAAAGTGCAGGGTCAAGTTGCAACGGCACAGTGGTGACAACAATGGGCTCCAACCTACCAACTGGAAGGATGGTGCAGGATGGGCAGTGTTTCATTCTGGTGTGCATTGGGTCACTATGAGTTGGAACTGGCTTGATGTCACCTAACAACAAGTTCAGAGTCTAGTGGAAAATAAAGATAAGTAAACAAGTGATTAGATTAAACAGTTGCTGTTAAGTGCTGTTGTGTCAGTCTGACTCATAACAACCCGGTATAGGGTTTCCAAAGAGTGGCTGGTGGATTTGAACTGCTAACCTTGCTAGGACTTCTAGATTAAACTAGTGGTAAGCAATTTGAGGCCTGACTGATGGGTAGGCATAAGCTACGTAAACGTATAGTGTGTGTATGTGGATGTATGCTGAGTCAGGGCTCTGGTAGAGAGGTGAACAGGAAAAAAGAAAGGTATAAGCACTGGACTGTGAACCACAGGTTGGTGGTTTGAGCTCACCAGCTACTTCATGGAAAAAAGATGAGGCTTTCTGCTCCCCACTAAGATTTAAAACCTAGGAAACCTGATTGTTGTAGTTGTTGGTGCCATAGAGTCAGTGCTGACTCAAACTGGCCCTGTGCACAACAGAACATTGGAGATTACATGATAGAATTTTGCAAGACCAACGACTTATTCAATTGCAAATACCTAGTTTTAACAACATAAATGGCAATTACATACATGAACGTCACCAGATAGAACACATAGGAATCAAATTGACTACATCTGTGGGAAAAGATGATAGAAAACCTCTCAATATTCAAAACATAGTCAGGGGCTGACTGTGGAACAGACCATCAATTGCTCACATTCAGCAAGTTTAGGCTGAAGTGGAAGAAAATTAAAACAAGTCCACAAGAGCCAAAACATGTCCTTGAGTTTAATCCCACTTGAATTTAGGAACCATCTCAAGAACAGATTTGATGCATTAGACACTAATAATGAAGGCCACAGGAGTTGTGGATGATATCAAGCACATCATGTTAAGAAAGCAAAAAGTCATTGAAAAGATAGGAAAGAAGGAAAAGACCCAAATGGACGTCAGAAGAGCATCTGAAATTGTTATTGACAACTTCAATCTTATCTCTATTTATTAAGAGGATGAAGTCTTTGACAACTTCAATCTTATCTCTTGATCAATGGAGAGTACACTGAAGTTGTCAAAGACTTCCTTTTGCTTGGATACACAATCAATGCTCATTCATGGAAGCAGTAGTCAAGAAGTCAAATCACACATTGCATTGGGGAAATCTTCTGCAAGAACCTCTTTAAAGTGTTAAAGAGTAAAGATGTCACTTTGAGGACTAAGATGGGCCCAACCCAAGCCATTGTATTTTCCATTCCCTCATATGCATGTGGAAGCTGAACAGTGACTAGGGAAGACTGGAGAAGAAAAGATGCATTTGGATTATGATGCTGGTAAAGAATACTTAAAGTACATGGACTGCCAGAAGAACAAATCTGTTTTGGCTGAATTAATCCATCTCTCATACTTTGGACCTGCTGTCAGGAAGGACCAGCCTCTGGAGAAAGACATTATGCTTGGTAAAGTGGATGGTCAGCAAAAAAAAGAGGAAGACTCCAGTAAGGTGGACTGACACAGTGGCAGCAACAATGGACATAACATAGCAATTGTGAGGATGGTGCAGGACCAGGCAGTACATGAGTCGGAACTGACTCAGTGGCACCCAACAACAACAACAACAACAACAAACTAAAAATTCAATAACTTTCAAAACCATATTATTTAAAATACTGAAAAAATGAAGACAAGGAAGTGGCTAAGGAAATAAGATAAATTAAATTGAAAGTGATAAAAACTATCCATCAACGTCCAAAAATACTTACCAAATTAAGTAGAATGATAGTGCCCAAAACAGTATATATGAAGGGGTTTCAAAAAAGTTTGTGGAGAAATGGAATTGAAAGGCAATGGAATTTTTTCATGAACTTTTGAAGCCCCTTCATACATATGCACACATATTATATGAAAATGTACATACATAAAAAAAAAACTAAACAGAATAAGGAGAAACATTGTAGACTTTTTTTTCCTTTAAAAATTTCTCTAACACTGTATGAAAAAAGAATAATTTTATATTTTTAACTCAGCAGTGTATTAAGATAATATATTCAAATGATACAAAACAGTATGTGATGAAGAACAAAATGCCTTTAAGATAACATGCGTTAACTTACTGTAATAGTCAGTAAGAGGGAGGCTGACAAAAAAAGGATGGAGGCAGGGGAAGGCACTGGGAGTAGTTCTCAGTAGGCTTCAGTTGATAGGGAAAGCATACGTAACATCCTATCCCAGTCTTTTTCTAGGCAGTCTTGAACATAAGCAAAGATTCAAGACATAACAGTCTTGAACATGTACTAGACGAAAAGTGGCTGCAACAAAGTAGAAGCAGAGAGTTCTAGTCCTGTATTTTCTACCGACTATTTATGTAGCCTTTGACAAAGCATAATCTTTCAAAGTCTCAGTCTCTTCATTTGTAAGGGAGCCTTGATTTACCAATAAAATTGTTAGAATCTTATGAGGTAAAATGTGAAAGCATTTTTGAAAACCTACAAGGTATTATTAAAATGATCTGAAATCTAATATAAGAGAAGAATAGGGGTATCTTTCAATACAATTCTGTTCCCAAAAAGGAAGGAAAATTTAAAAATTCATTCACTCACTCATCAAATATTTCCTGGATACTATTGTAGTGGGTTATGTGTTGATCTGCTAACCACAAGGTCAGCAGTTCGAATCCACCAGCTGCTCCACAGGAGAAAGATGAGGCTTTCTCCTCCCATAAAGATTTACAGCTTTGGGAAACCCTATACAGGATCACTATGAGTAGAAACGGACTCAATAGTATACCATCATCATCAATTATATGTCAAGCACTGCATTACATGCTAAGGGTTCAAGGGTGACAAGTCAGCCAAGGTCCATGGTCTCACAGAGTATACATCTAGATGAAGAATGGGAGGAATAAATAACAAAAGAGTAAACAATACAATTACCAATTGTGTTAAGTCACAAACAAACTGATCTGTTAGAGAATATTTGGAGAGCAGGAGTTAGTATCTCTCTCGACATGCTGGCTAGGTTTTGCTTCTCTGAGAAGATGAGATGGAATTAACCACAATAGAAGCTGGGGAGGAAATTGGAAAGTAGACAAAGGCCAAGCCATGGAGAGCTTCATAGGTCATGGTAAGGGTTTTATTTTCAGTGCAATAAGAAACCATTGAGAGGTTTTAAGAGAGGGAGTACTATTCAATTTGCATTTTGGAAAGACTACTCTGATTGCTCTATAGAGAACGGGTTGGGAGGGAGGTACGGGAGCAAGGAAGTTAACTAAGAAGATATAGCTAGAAATAAACAGATTCAAAATTAAAATTTTGATGGTAGAACTAAAAAGATATGTTGATGGATTACATGTGAAGAGAATCAGGTGATCCCTAGATTTTGATTTGTGATCATCTGTGTGAATAGGCTATTTACTGAATGGGTTAGATTGGGGAAGGTACAGTTTGAAGGAAGAGAAAAACTCCATAGGTAGTCTGTGGACTGGATAAAAATTCACTGACAATTTCAACTGGAAGTTCAAGTCAACTTAAAGATTTATCATACAATTCCTGGTAAAGGTAGTAAGGATGCAATGAGCTGGTGAATGAGAGTGTACTAGAAGAAATAAA